GCTTCCTCTATGAGGAAGCCATAACAATGGAAGCAATGTGCAAATTTCTAATTAGAAAAAAAGTAAGTGTGCAAATTAGAAATTTGCACATGGCTTCCATTGTTATGGCTTCCTCATAGAGGAAGCTTTAAGAGCGAAGTAAGAATATGCAAATTTCTAATTTGAATACTTTCAAGAAACAACGTAGTAAAGTTAGATTTCTCTCTTAAAGCTTCCTCTATGAGGAAGACATAACAATGGAAGCAATGTGCAAATTTCTAATTTGCCTACTTTAATGATGAGGAAGAAATGTGCAAATTTCCAATTTGCACGCTTCAATGCTGAAGAAGCAATGTGCAAATTTCTAATTTGCACACTTTACTTTACTTTACTTTTTTTTTCTTTATACAATTAATATGAATATACACAATTTATACATAAGATTTGTACGGGGTTCTTTTGAGGTTTTCACTGTATTGATTGAATTTAATTCAGTTTGACTACTTTTCAAAAATCAAATAAGATCTCTGTTATATTTATTATTATATTTAGTCAACGTGTGCTTTTTGACAATAAGATTGGAATAAATTGAGCGAATATGAAGAAAGTCTTTATACATCTTTTATTATACGAGCTCGGAAAATAATTACTTAACATGTACAATTTCAATAAAGTATTCTGTTACACAAATCGATTTGAAATATTTATTTTCATTTTAATTTGAGATAGCGATATGTGTATCTTGAAAATTTATGTTTTCTAATCATAGGTTCAGCAAAAGATTTATATATACACATCATATACATGGCACGACGCTCGCACGATAAGCGGGAGATCCAGGTTCGAAATATTACCTCACCCTGGCTGAGGTAATATTTTTCGCAATGAGATCTTTGCGGTTTAGAATTCGATACAAATCCGCAAGTAAGCGGTACGCGAGAATCGGGCGGGAATCTGGGAGGGCAGTATTCATAGCATTAAAAATCTCGCTTCACAATTGCGTCCGATATAAGTCCGAAAGTAACGCGCAGTGCGTGGAATTGAAATAATTTGGGATTATTTAATTAATTAACTACGTTTTTATCACTCGTGTTTATGATCGTTTTATATATCGTTCATTCACGTAGTTCTTTACGCGCTTCAGTTACACTGTTAATCGTAAAATGGCGACTTCCGGCTTATTGGCTCCACTCTACTTTTACCCACTCTACTCGCACCCGCGCTGTTGTCGCGCTCACTTGCACATCGTCGTGCGTTCTCTTTCTAGCGCCCGCGCCTCCCCTGCCGCCTCCGTCACAATGTAAAGAATGTAAGATGCCGCATCATACGACATTGCATCGCGCTTCGCTCAGTAGTCCAAGCGCTACGATTAAGCCTGACGCTCAGGCCGAAAATGTTTTGAATAACGCAGCTAGCGTTAACTTGCTCCCGTCGCAAGTATCATTGTCTAATGTGCCGCTCGGTGCAGCCTCCGAGCTACCAAGAAAGTCGCCGGACCGCGCGGCAATTTGCACATCGCAACAGTACCTCACTTCCGTGCTACTCGCTACTGCATGGGTACGACTACGAACGCCGGAAGATCGAGTCATTAAAGCACGAGCCTTAATCAATCAAGGCTCCTCGCATAGTTTCATTACTGAGTCTCTCGCTCAAAAATTGCGCACTCCCCGTCGAGCCGATCTCGACATCACCGTTTCCGGAAACGGACAATTCGCTCGCGCCACGTCCTACGTGAACATTTCGCTCGAATCATGTAACGGACAAACCGCGACGTCTCTGAAAATTACCACGTACATTTTCAAAAGTCTTACTAATGTGGGGATTATCTAATGATGATAATCCACCTTCTCTTAATATCGGCGCGTTAAGGAAAATAAAATGAAGACACTCGGATAATCGATAGTCAGGCTTTAATACCGAACCGAACGAAAGTACAGGTCAGTCGAGACTCGCGAAAACAAAGACGCGTGTTATTGTATTAGCTGATCCAGAACGACTGTCTCAATATCGAACCGTCGCTGTATCGAGCCGAAACGAAAATCAATACTGCGCAGTCAATCCTGCGCATCGTCAGGTCCTGTGCACCTATATAATACATAATTATCGCCTATAGTTCGGCCGTCCTGACAATATGGCCGTCTCGGCCATGGGTATAAGAAATGCGCAAAATAACGTATAACAATTTGATAATACAATTCTCGTCACCTTAATTACATATTATGCCGATTACATATACAATAAATAGAGAGTACAAATATCTTAAAGTCTAGTCGCTAATATATCTTTTCATATGATCCGCACTCACCGTTCCCGTGTACGGTAATTGAGTTATCTGGAAGCCCTCGATATCTGACACAATATAACGGTCATGATCTAAAACAGTTTTTATAATTGTGACGTGGCGGATTAGCTGCCGCGTGCCAGCTCCCCGCTGCCGTCCCAAGGCGCGGTGTCGGTCCGCCCGGGAAAAGAGGATCCGCGCGAGGCCGTAGGGAAACCTCCCGGGGTCGCAACCACACCTTTTTTTTTACTTGCCCGCTTACCCGAGACTTTTTTTGTATTTTTGTAACGCGCCCATCGAGCGTCACTGAGCCGACCGGACCAGTGAGGGGACCAACGGACGGCGTGGCCGAAAGGGGGCGAGAGAAGGAGAGCTGAGGGGCAAGGACGCGAGGAGGCCAGCGAGCGGCGGCCGCGGGGAAGCCGAGGGGCCAGACGGCGAGAGGGGCGAGGCGAGGGGCGAGGACGAGAGGCGCCGACGGGCGGTGAACACGGAGGAGCCGAGCCGCCCTGAGAGCTGGGACCCGGATACGCGGAGCCGTGCCCGAGGGGCCGGGGACGAGGCGCCGGCAGGACGGCCCGCCGAGGGGCGAGCACGGGCGGAGGTTCCCCGGAGGCCCTAAGGACCGGTGAAGCCAGAGGGCCAACGCGCCTGAGAGCGGGCCCAGGATCGACCGCCCCGGCCCTGCGAGTCGCGCAATATAATTAAGCGGGGCGAATTTCGCACCCGGAAGCGCGCGGACAGCGATAGCGCCCCTGCGAGCCCGTCGACATGTGACATTTGTTTGCCCGGACGATGTTTAATTTCATAGTCATAATCTTGTAAAAACATCGCCCATCTCGAAATGCGTGGATTAACAGTCTGCTTGTACAATGTAAGGCGGAAGCTATCACAATCCGTAACAATGGTAAACGGAATCCCTGACAGATAGATGTGATATCTCTTAATCGCATATACGGCCGCCAAACATTCCAGCTCGAAGCTGTGATAACGTGCTTCAGTCGCCGTGGTTCTACGACTAAAATAAGATACAGGCCGCATAGTTTCATCGTTTTGCTTCTGTAACAGAATTGCACCGAATCCGCCAGCACTGGCGTCACAATGCAACTCTGTTAACAATTTCGGCGAATAAATAGCGAGAATCGGTTGAGAAGACAACAACTTCTTTAATAACTCGAAAACGCGGTTTTCTTCAGGCCCAAATCTAAAAACTGCATTCTTTTTTACTAGATCATAAAGTGGTTTTGCAATGATCGAAAAATTCCTAATAAATCTACGGAAGTAGCTTGCAAGGGATACAAATCGATGGACTTCTTTTACATTACGTGGCACCGGAAAATCAGTAACGGACTCCACGTTCGCAGCACTAGGTCGAATGCCATTCTCGTCAATCAGATAACCAAGATAGACAATCTCGCGATACAGAAACGAGCACTTATCTAAACGGAATTGCAACTTGTGTTGGCGCGCCAAATTAAAAACTTCTCGAAGAATTTCTAAGTGCTCACCAACATTTTCAGTCGCGATTAATATATCGTCAAGATATATCAATATTTTATTCTCCCGAATCAAATCACGAAAAATGTCGTTAATGTACCGCTGGAAAACACGCGGAGCGTTCGTTAATCCGAAAGGCATTCTTAGAAACTCAAACTGACCCAGAGGTGTCACAAAAGACGTATATTTCACCGATTCGTCGGCAACCTTAACGTGATGGAATCCGTTTCTCAAATCCAGGCTAGAAAAGTAGGATTTTCCGCGCAATCTATCTAGGTGGTCGTCTATCAATGGGGTCGGAAAGTTATCCCTTACCGTTATTTTATTTAACTCGCGATAATCAATACATAATCGCGATTCACCGTCCTTTTTACGCACGAGCACAATAGGAAAAGCGTATGGAGAATCGCTCGTTCTTATTATTTGTTCCTGTAATAATTTGTCCAAAATTTGTTTCAATTTCTCTTTGTCGTCGAATGAGAGTCTTCGCGGCCGGTAACTAATAGGTCTATCATGCGTTAAATTAATGGTCATTTCAACTTCCTTTTGGGTACTTATAATTCCCGTATCGGCAGTACACTCACTTCTATATAATTCTTCGACATGTTTTTTCTTTATAATTAAGTTGCGGATTAATGTTCATCGCCTCAGCCACGGACAACGGATGGTCAACATATGAAATATGCAAAATTTGCTTCGAAAAATCCAAGTCATCTATCGCTCGCGGACTTGCCTTTGAGATACTAAATTTTTCTCCTAACGGTAGCCTAATTAACGGTGACGATGTAAAGTCCCGACCGAACAAAGCCGCACACGTTATCGCGGCATCCGGCACAACAAAAAATTTGATTTTCAATTTCACATCGCTGATCTCGACAATCTCCTCGAAAGTTCCAAGTATATCCAACTCAGTTCCATTAATTCCGAAAAATGATTGTTGTTCAACCATCGACATGCAAGCATGAGCAGGCACTGAGCAGGAAATTATTCTTAATTAAGCTAACCGGAGACCCTGAATCGATCATCGCTATCAACGAATATTTACATTTATTACCAGATTTGTCCGCAACCTCATACGCAAGATTTACCAGGTACAGAGCGCTCGGTGAGGTTGTCTGTACCATGTTCGTCGTATTCTCCATTTTCGGCCGTGACTTCGGACATTCCGCCACTCGATGCTCCAGACTGCCGCACCCAAAACACGAGTCTTTCGCCCGCTTCTGTTCCTGTTTGCAGTCCCTGGAAATATGTCCTATCTCTCCACAATTATAGCAGCGTATAGTATTCTTCGCCGTGGATGTTCCTCCTTCATGCGGTGATTTCGGCACTGGCCGCTGTCCCCTCGCAGTTCGCCCTCCACCGCTTTCCGTCTCGTTATTCAATGACAGTTTCTTGAATGCGTCGAATAAATCCGTTGCCGACGCAAAACGCATCATCCGCGCCTGATTCCGCATACGTGTATCTTGCACTCCATCTATTAAAGAGTCAATTAATTCCTCTTCGTCAATGGATGCTCTGTTCGCGAGAATCACTTTCTCATGATAGTACTCCGCAAACGTTTCGCCGCTTCGCCACCTGCGTCTTTCAAAATCTCGCCTCAACATTAGCTTACTTGGACGATTAGCAAACATACGCGACATCTCCAATAGCAACTCCTCCGCACTCATCTGCAAATGCTCCAATTTCGAATGAAACCAATTCAAGGCCTTATCCTTCAATCTCAATGTAATTAATATTTTCGTCGAATTTTCATCCAATCGATATGTCGCACGTAATAGTTCGACTTTGTTTCTTCCACGTTTCAAAATTGTCACAATCACCACGGAACTCGCTCAATAAATCGCCAATGACTCGAATGTTGACTCTAGAATCGACGCGGTCGCCAGCACTGTTCTCGATACTCAGCATCGTGCTTGCCTCCCGACGGGCAAGATCTAATTCTCGCTCCAAAAGGGCTTTCTCGCGCTTTAACATTGCTATCTCTCTCGCCATAAATTCCGGTGTCATCTCAGCGTCATTCGGGATCGCAACAACCTCCCCGGGACGTGGCGCCACTCCACTATCAGAGAGAACCGTTGCCCCGATGTACTCGCATTCAAATCCGTCAGTAGATCCTGCGTCACATCACCGCCGAACAACCGAACATATGCATCCTGCCACTTGTCTTCGCGAACAGATAGTATTCGTGTTACCAACTCGGTCTTCGTTCCGCTCGTAGACACTTCGATGCGCCGTGCGATCTCCTTTAAATTCACGACAGTTAAGTCGTTTAGTTTTTCCTGAGGTGACCGATCCATCTTCGTAATCGTCAACCTCGTCCAAATTTCACAAGTCACGTAGCCAAAGTCACTGCTCACCCGATATAACAACAACGGGAAGCACACAATACAAAATTCGTCAACCGGTCACAAGCCGATAGAAAGTTTAGTTTCCTATCTCAATGTCACAACGGCACAAAGTATGGACAACGTTCAAATTTAGCCGTTAACAATTTGCGACAATTAAGATAATTAACAATTATAGAGTCGCGGGATCACAAAACCCGCACAAAACTCTAGTCTGCACACCGCCATTAGACACAATCTCCTTCGATTACACGCGTCAATCCCCCGCAATGTCTCTCAGTCTATAAATTCACTCCGTGGACGTGCACTCCGAGAAATGAAAAAAAATTCGATCCGATGAATCCCACTTCTGAATTTTGTGGAGATTATCTAATGATGATAAGGTAATTATGCATAAAAGGGGCCTCCTCTCCGATTTGCTTCATTTTGCTTCCTCATAGAGGAAGCTTTGTTTTCATGCGAAAATTTTTTTTCCAGTTTTCATTGCCAATGTGTTTAAAATGTTTTAAAAACTCAAAAAACACAATTTTTAAAAAATGTATGTGTGCGTGTGTGTATGTGCACAAAAATTGTTCGCGCTCTCACGTCCGCAATTTTTGAGATATCGCTTTCTACTTTGGCACATTTATTGAGTGTGATTAAGA